ATATATATATATATATATATACACACACATATAATATATATACTATATAATATATATACACATATATATTTTTATTTATATATAATCATATATAATCATACATATATATATATATATATATATATATTTATATATAATCATATATAACTTATTATACATATTTATATATAGTCATATGTAATTCTCTCTCTCTCTCTCTCTCTCTCTCTCTTTGTATCACCATTTCATCTATAATTATATATTTTTATACATGGACATATTCTATATATGACACCTCACATAAAATTATATATAATTATGTCTAATTATGTATGAAAAATTTCTTCCTGGGATTTCTCGGTTCTAACTCCGAACAGCTCTCTCGCTCACTATCGACAGCCGCTAACGGAGGGTGACACCCCTAAATGTACATCCAGTCTAGCTCGGACGAATCACCGTAGGATTATAATCTTGACTTAGACAACGAGCGCGCGCAATGAGACGCGCGACGATGAGATCTCCGGCGAAACCGCCGAAATCTTATTGATACAGTCGCCTCGGTGCAAAATTTCTCTTACTCGGCGCAAAGCACACCTATTATTCATTATTATCGTAGTCGTTAGCGCTACTTTCTACTATTATATAACTTCTCTAATACTAACATCATTAACTGTTGCTGCTACTACTGCCGCCGTTGCCACTGCTGCCTGCTATTGCTGCTTCTGCTGCTAATGCTATTAGTGTTACGCGAATGAGTCGTTACTATTTATACCATATTTATACCGTGATTACCACCAGCGTCGCCGTGACCAACGCGATCAGCGACATCGTTTAATCTGATTATTGTTTTACACCGTCCTTACTCGTTACTTCACTATTATTATAATACATTATTGTTACTGTTTTGTAACTGTTGTTCTCTTGTTGCTGTTGCTGCCGTTTTATAGCAGTACTTGTTGTTATTATTGCGAGCACGTTTTTTTTTGTTCTTTATATCCTCAGTGTTATAGGCTTCGTATAACTCCCTTAGTCCTGGTCCCAGCAGTTCCTGCTTGTGTTGTCGCAATGGTGATCGACAGAAAGTAACTTTTGTGTTTCTTACGTGGTAAGATATACGAGGGTGTTACATCGTGGATTGTGACACGGGTATAGTCGCGACTGAAAACCGCGAACTTAAACACTAAAAAACGCGCGTAAAATAAAACACTGGAAGACTTCGCAACGCTGGGATGATCGTTCGTAATTGGGAGGATCACACATCGTGACACCGGGTAGAGGGATGTCCTAAGACATACCGTAGAACACTGTGTATGATGTGTGTATGTGTGTGTATGTACATTTAATTGCTGCGTATATCTTCTTCTCGGATGGACATTTCATGAGAGCGATCAATAGAACATGACGTGCGAAATCTGTGACTTCTGCTTCTTCCTCTACTTGTACTTCTTACTTTCGAGTACAGGAGGAAGACGCGGAAGCTGCTCAAGACAGTTACGAGGACTCGTAACTGCGACACAGGATTTATCGTGATCGAGCAAGCGAATAAAGTCGAGACAAAGTCGTGATCATCGTGATTCCGTTCAACCAGTAAATGCAAGTGTTTCTCTCTGAAGCGTCTTCGTTATTTAAACGACAGATCTCTCGATCGTGTTACTGTGCTCTCTAAATTAAGACTCTTGGTTCCTCGATACGGTCGTTCTGTTTGATGATGTCAGAAGTGAGAAAACGCATGTCTAGATTTCTCACAATATATCTTCAAATAAAAAGATATACTTGCAAAATGACATTTGTGATCAATTCAACACACTGGCAAAATATTCCGAGAACTTTCCTTTTGCCTTAACAATAAATAAATAATAATAAGATTAACATAATATATGTAACCTTCCTTTTCAACGCTAAAATCACCGAGCATAAGTGCCAATTTGGCTCCTGTTTTTATTTTCGGTTACGGAAAAGTTATTTTAATATTATTTGCATTATTTGAGACTATATTCACATTCAAAATGATAAAAAGACCAGGGAAAACTATTAACCAATACAAAAATTTATAGGATTTATAGCAATTTTAAGGATCAACGGGGTCAAAATAGCACTATCGGCGGTTCTAACCCGCCTCTTCTCTCATTTTGTCATGATAATTTTACAACTATTTATTGATTGACTAAAAAAAAAGTGTTTGGAGTATGCCAGGCATGGATTTCCTCGCTTCATGAAACAAAATAGCCATAACAAGGACGCAGGAGCCTTAGGGACGGTAAAAAGTGCGAAGAGAAGAAATTAATCTCTACAACTCTTCTTGAAATACAATCGTCCGCCTGCGCGTTTTTACCTGAGATCGCGAATGAATCGTCGTGCAAAACAGACGTTGGAATACGTGTGCGCGCTCGATGCAACCGCCTTCTCCTTCCGTTACTCGGTTCGCCGACGGTTTTAAAACGAGTGAGTACAAAACACCAATCTCTTCGTTTCCGCTTGTGCGCGAGGATCTTTGTCGGAGATGGTTTCAAGCGAAGCTCAGACAGGACACAGAAACCGCATTCTCGCGGGAGATATAGTGCGACGCCCGCGACTGATTCGTCGACATGTGCGTTGCGAGACATGTGTGTGTGTGTGTGTGTGTGTGTGTGTGTGTGTGTGTGTGTGTGCAAATCCAGATAGCACAAAATATTCCATGAATACACATAGAATATATTACATACAAGCGAATATTCGCGTACTCATAATAGAAAAGAATGTTTTCTTAGAACATTGTTATAAAGTTCATTTACTGCGTATGTGCAATGCATTGATCTAACTGAAAAATAGACAATTCCGTATGTACACTATAATATACATATTTAATTTAAAACTGAAATTTGCGCACGGAGATAACAATTTTGCTGGAATAGCAAATTTCCTGTTAATATAACGTCAGTAAAAAGATTTGTTTGGACAGCAAAAAGACTTGTTAAGAATATTGATTTTTGATTATTCCAATTCTTTTATCGTCGCAGCAACAACGCTTTGCTATAACAGCAAAATTATTTTTTTCGTGTAACAAATCTTATTACTGTCATTATATTAATAAACAATTTATTGTTGTTCCAGCAAAATTTCTTCTCCGTACGTGTGCACGCGTGAAATTGTTTTCGTGTGTCTTTTAGTCTCAGGAACTCTTCATAATGAACATTTTTTCCCGAGTAGTATCACTCGAATGTACTAAGAACATTCTATAAACATATACACCAGTGTTTAGTACATTCCATCAATATACAAATATTCGTGACGAATATTCGTAGAACATTCATAGAATATTCCTATGCAATCTGGGAAACATCTTCCTCCCGGGACAGCTCTATAAGTTTGTACCGACATTTACGAAATTATGCGAGACGAGGCAGTGATTATAGCATGTGATAGCGTTTGCTAAGTTTCCCGCTTCTAGCCGAGTTGCACCGACAGTCTGGTTTAACTGAATCTGCTTTAGCGACTTTCGCACATTTTTACGTTGCGCACTTTCTCGGATTCTAAATTCCACCCATGATAACGACGAGCGATAACGTGCGTAACGAATGCGTGACATGACGTGCGAGACCACGCTGAAATCCAGCTGTTAGATGAACCCCGTGAGACGCAAAAAATCGACATCTAAATCCGATCTGGCGTCATCGTTATCGTGCCGCGCATAGTACAGGCGTCATTAACCGACGAGATGCCGACGAAAACATATCCCTACAGAAAGAGAGAGACCCCGCTGAATGTATATGTACACATAGAAATTTACAAATATATAAAAATATATACAAGAAAAAAATTTCCACAGGTGAGAGACCATCGCGTGAGAAAAGACGTTCGAAATTCACCGGAGAATCAACGAGTAATCGCGCGCGCGCTCGAAAGAAAATTGAACCGACCAGAAGTGCTTGTTGGTGTTGAACTACGTTGATGCAACCAGCTCGCGGTAAAAGCGCGATTTTAACGAACCACCGTGAGGATGTCCCAAGGACACGTTTACCGATCGCTTTAAGCGACTCGCGCTCACAAGCGGTAGCTTGTTCCTCGTGTACGAGATCGTTCTCGGCCGAACCGTTACAGAGTAAGCTACCTTACGTATCCGAAGAGTAACTCTAGCTCCGACCATTGCTTTCGTACATTAGCTACGAGCTCCCGTCGATGCCCGACGAATGTGTTGCCTCGGGACGAGTCCTCCTCCCGCTCTCTCGGCTCCCCTGGGGAAAGATCTTCTACAGAATCTCCAGCGCCGCGCGCTCCAGCTCAGATTCCCAGCGCGTTTCTTCCTCTCTCTCTCTCTCTCTCTATATCATCCCATATATTTCTCTTCTATTATGCACATCTCGGTGTGTGTGTACACATACATCTACGTTCACGCTTTTTTGCTCTCTCTTTCTTTCGCTCTTTCCGCGCTAGATCAACGCGGCTTTGTCTGAAATCACATTCACACAGATGCTCCGATTGAACACACCTGAACGTACGGTATTATATCGCGTGTATCTTTGTGTACATGTGTGTGTGTGTGTGCGCGTCTCTCTCACCGGAGCGTGCTTATATCCTACACGAGTGCGTAACGATCATTCATCGGCTAAGCCTTAAGTATTTATCTCGAGTCTGTCGTGTTACTGACCTCTTCATCGGCAGCTTGGGTTTGGGCGCTCGGCTGCTGCGAGGGTGCGGCGGTTCCGCTCGCCGCCGTAGCGTGCGCCTGCTTACCGAACTTAACGGTATTATCCTGCTGTGTGCTTTGCGACAGTTCCGGTCTCCTGAGGTAAGCGGCCTCCTTTTTCGGCGGTACCACTGGCTTATTTGGTGGTACCGGGGGCGGCACGCCGCGCGAGATCGGCGGCTTTTTCGCGGGCAGTATACCGGCGGCGGCGGCGACAGCGGCGGCGGCGGTGGATGCTTGACCGGCGGGGCTGCCAGGGCCAACGTGAAAGCCGAGCTTCCCTGCGGCTTGCGACGACGTTATAAGCTTAGCCGTCGCAGTATTAACAGGAGCAGGTACGACCGGTCGCTTGTCTACGGCCTGAGGAATGAACACACACAACCATGACCGATGTGAGAGGGTTGCGCCAGCGTATTACGGTCGTTTTGCCAGACAGACAGACAGACAGGTAGGTAGGTGGACAGACAGGCAGGCAGATAGGACACTCCGTCGCCACCTCAGCAGCCAACTCCACAACGTGATAAAACGTTATTCTTGGTGGGTGACTTTTAGGGTAAGGGAAGGAGAGAGAGAGGGGGGAGGGAGAAAAGAACCATACCAAAGAACTAATCCAAAGCGGAGGCTTCGGCGGAGAAAGTAACAAGGAGCTGACGGCAAAACTACGAGAAATTGTACTCAAGATCGAGTTGCGAGGGGGAAAAGAGAGAAAGAGAGTTATTCGCCGGTTATTCAAGCGGAAAAGAAAACAGAAAAACGATTCGCAACTCGCCGGGACCCTCGACGACCGAGATGTCAAATTGAAGTGCTATTAATGGATAATCGCGAGGGAATGACTTGATTCGACCGCATGTTCTTCGCAAATCACCAAAGGGCAAGAAAACGCAGTCCGAAACAGGGAGTGGATTAGTAATAGAACGTAATGTGCGACAGATCCTCGGAGAAGAAAGAGACGAACAGGACGATATAGAAAGCCTGACCCCGAGAAACGAGAGTACTTCAGTCTAAATACGTCGAGATCGAGAATTGTTATGATAAACATAAAAGAGCTCTGACTCGGCCAGACGCGTACCACCTGCTTGTTATAAAGTACCGCTTGCAAACCAACTAAACGATACGATAGTAGACGTCCAAGTTCGTAACCAAACCATATATATATATATATATATACATATATATATAATTTAGTAGCAGCGATTACGGGATAGCGATTATGAAGTCAAGCGGGGAGAATTGTAAATAAGGCTCAGAAATGAGTTGCATACAACTTTTAATTGTAGGAATCGGTCGACGTACATGTGAAATAATAATCTTATGTACACAAAAATAAAAGTATCGTAATAAAATATAATTCTAAGTATATATTGATTGATTGATGGTGTGCTAACTTAGATATATATAGAGGAAGTGTTTAACATATATATATATATATATATATATATATATATATATATTGCGTTGCGAGCGTGTACGTTGTGTGTGTATCTTTGTGTGTTTCTTGAATAACCGTCAATAAAGTTGCAAATAACATGTGAACAAAGTATACATAACGTAAAGCAAAGCCTCCTCAAAGTAATCCGCTCTCGAATGTTCATAGTCAGTCTAATAGAAGCCCCTAAGAGCGAAGAGTCGAATAGTCCTTCAATTTCAGTGCACCATTGGATAATACGAGCGATAGAAATAGAATTTCGATCGAGGCGAGAGCAATTCTGTGCATCGAACTAAAGAAGATAGCAGTGAAAACCATTTCTTCGATGAGTCCCCGCCTCAATGTTCTACCGAAACGTTTCTGCGCGTCATTACGTGATACAACAGCACGCGAATATAACAATTTCGTTATCAAATAAGTAGCCGTCTTCATTTCAAGTTAAGTAAAAGCAATAAATATTCAATATCTGTGCTTTTAAATTAAATAGTGATGAACACATGTGCATGATTCGTTAATAACCATGTGATTAATAATAACGACGATAAAGTGTGAGTACGTGTGTATGTGTGTGTGTATCTGTGCGTGTGTGTGTGATACTTACGACCTAAAGTATCGAAATAAAATATATAAGACTAGAGAAACTTATAAAGTGCTTGTAAAATCAGTGTAACAACAAATGCAATAATCTTATTGTAAGATCAAATTGTGTCGAATGTGAGAGAATGATTCACAATGGACAAAAATCAACTCCTTTTTACATAATTTTGCCGCGTATCTCAACAGTGTGATTTCAAAGAGTTAAAAATCCTGAGTTACAAAAAGGAACACGATTGAGGATGCGATTTAAATATACACGTCTTCAATTATTAACTAAACAGCAAGGTTAAAAATGTCCAACAATTATACAACTGCAGTGTAGGGAACTATTTTCGTTCAAAACATTTGGAAGATATCTCGTGAACCTTCAGTTTCGCGTGTATCTCGGACTATAAAGAGCCTACTTACACTATAAATTACACTATAAATTACAATCATATGTCTAAAATTCTAAGGTCGTCTGATAAAACAGACATACCTTATTTCTCGTATCGCGATATCGTACATAAAAATTTCCTTTTCTCTATGATATAGCTTTTTCCTCATCGGGCACGAATTTATATCAATACGTGATATTCTATTAAAGCTAATCTCTATCTCTCTCCAAAACACAATACTGACATAAGTTGGATTTATAATTTGAACTGTAAATATACATATGTGTGTGTGTATAAAGTACTAACGGAAAAAGTTCCATACAAAGACTAAATAGCTGATTTCTACTTCAGTGTCAATTGAATTTTCCTATCATTTTCCTATCATACACAAACATAAACCATTTATAAATTATGTTACTTGGATATTTTTCGCTGTCTTTCTCTTTTCAAAAAAAAAAAATACTAGCAATCTAATTCTCATTGATGCACGATAGAAAAATATCTATTATAACACTTCGCGTGTATAAATAGGCTCTGTATAATCTTCAGATTAATGTCGAGTGTGTAGGGAAATGTGGATAGGTTACCTGCGTGTCCGGAGTAGCTGTAGACTCCCCACTCGCAGATGTTAAATTCGGTGTGTACGTAACTCCACGTAGTGCCTGCCCAGGTGTTACTGATCTAGCAATTCCAGTTGCTAAAAGTGAGGAGAAATTGCACATTTATAATCGCACTTTTGCGAGCAATCCGTGAAATTGAAACGGACCAAATATAAAATTGCGCACTATATACACAAATTTATATTTTATACGTACAAAAACACTCGCTTGAAAAAATGATATATTCAAAACGCACTTAGGTCATTTGTTAAAATGAAACTTATTGAAGCTGATATTGTGTTACACATGAAAATATTGAGGGAATCTTACTTGGTCCACTAACAGGAACACTGGACACTGTGGCAGTGGGTTGGACAACTTTACTACTAACCATAGGTGTCCCTGTACCCAAGACTGCTCCTTTAACTACAGAAATTGTCAAGGATTGTAAGATCAACTTGTTTCGCAACATCAATTGATAACACATCAAGAACAATGTGAAAAAAATGTTTTCACTCATTCTCATACTTTATATTCGGCTTATTTAACTAACAGATATCAACAAACCTTTCTCGATGTGTACAGTTTCTATTGTAACAGAAAGTTAATTCTGAACTTACTTGTTTGCGGAGCACTAGCTGGCCTAAGTGTTGGCATAGCGACCAAATTCGCTGGTTTTGCGGGTGGCGGCGGTGGAGTTACGCCGACTCCTCTCGCGGGACCTCGAGCCTGCGACTCTTTCCACGTGTCCATCTCGACTCGTAATTTCTCTAACTCCGTCTCGAAGTCCTTCGCTCTTTTCTCCTCCTTCACAAGAGCCTGCCGATATTGTTGCCTCTCCATGTCGAATTGCGCTAATTGCTTTTCCAATTCCGCTTCCATCTGCAGGGACTTCTTGCTCTCTTCCTCGAGGCCCTCGGCCATCGAGTCTATTCTAACTTTCTCCTCGCTGAGTATTTGGGCTAAATCCTCAGATCGTTTTCTCTCCTCGATGTACTTCATGATAATCTTTTTACGTTCCGCTAAAAGTAAAAGCACTATCTGCTTTTGTCGATTTTTCTCCTCCTCCAGATGATCGTTGACCTTCTTCAATTCGAGCTCTAATTTCTTCTTTTCCTGTTTCTCCAGCTCCAATTCCTTCTTCAATCTTGTCCTCTCTTTTTCAAGACCGTAAGTGATGTCGTCGCCTTGGGCGGTATCGTGCTCGTGTTTCCGCTTCTCTTCCTCTAATTCTTTAATTACCTACGAATGTACAACAATGCACTTGCTTCCTAACGATGTTACATTACATATATTCATAAATCACACTGTATCACGTAGTATGACGAAACCATGAACAAAGTAAGATACGTACCGCTCTGTGCCTAATTTCAGCGTCCCTGAGAACCTTAGACATCCTACACTGCGCAATTCTTTGCTTGCTCACTAGTGCCTCGAGACTAGCGACCTTTTGATCAATTTGATTCCCTTCGACCCCGCTGACGCCGCCTACTATCGCAACGTCGCGAGCTAACGCCGCGTGTGGATCTGCAGTTCCACTGAGATACCGGGAACTCAAAAGATGCTTCATTTTTTCTGACTGAAAGAGAGAGATGGTGATTGTAGCGTAATAACCTGAAAGTTAACACGACCGGAAAATTTCAAGCAACGACACATCGAATCAAAGGAGATTGCGACACTTTGTCGTATATCCTTCCTACATGTGAATTTACACATGTTATTGCTGAAGAGCGAGTCAAATTGACAAAAATATATGACGCACAAAATACACCCTTAATAACAATCATATCTTGCTATTTACTTTTAATGCCGCTATCACAATGTCTCTCGCTTGGAGCTCTCCCTCCAGATAGCCCAGCAACTTCAGCAAATCAGTTTTGCTCAACTCCATCTTTGGATTGCGCTGCAAGTGCACACAATGATCATTAATCATCAGTATTTACGCAGAGATAACTATCGCAGCATTGACAGAAAAGAGCTGAGAAATACCTTCAGAGTATTGGAGGAACTCTTATCCAACGGCTCAATGTTATTCGCTTGCTGCTGCTGCTGCTGAGGTTGCGGAAGGGTCTGCGCCTTGGCGGCCGAGATCGCGGTGGACCCCGGCGGCGGTGCACCCGACGATGGCGGTCCGTTCGCCGCCGTGGTGCCGGGCGAAGCGGTGACGTTGACAGCGCTCTGGTTCTGCGATGCCATCGTGCGCGCGATTGGGGCTACTTATTCACGACTTGCTCGTTCCCCGCAGCCGGCGCGGGTCGTTAAGTGAAACACGTTCGCACGAGCTCCTACGTCCTCACCCCACGATGATCCGGGGACGGGACGCGCGAACACCCCCGCCGGACACCCAGCGGTCTTCGACGCTCGCTACATTGCCACAGGACCAACGGCCGCGCGTACTCCTCCGCCACCACCTTCTCCTTGTCGTCGTCGTGGTCGTCGTCCTCGTCGCCCGTCGTTCCGCTTCGCTCCTTTCTTGGATCGGCACACGCGCGCCGTCGAGGAGCTCGTTCACGCCGCGAGTACGAATTAGCGCGGCGTCCGGCGCGACGACCCGCTTCGCTACGCTCACCTTGACAAATCGAGCGCACTCACAAAGCGCACGCAGCTCGAGCTCGATCGCGGCGGCCCTCGTGAAAGGCGCCCCGGGTCGTGAGATCGAGAGCTCGCGAGAGCTCGACCGAGGCTGTCGTGAATAAAAGGTGCGTTCCGTCTCTTGCTCGTATGCTGCACATGTAGCGTTTTCGATTTGTTGACCGGTTCTGCTAATGCGAAGTCTACAATGAGAATTTAAGCCTTGAGAAATTGACCAATCACAGTCGATTGTAGATCCTACTTTACGCTTACCTTCCGTCATCATGGTTTATGGCTCGGTTTCACCAACGCGAGTTAATCAAATCGATTGATTAAATTCAGTTTCTTCATTGGAACTGACCAATCGCATCTATCTAACAACGATGTGATTGGACAGCTCCAACAGAGAAGCTAAATGATTTAATTAACTCGCGTTGGTGAAACCGGGCCTTTGGCCAAAAAATCTATTTCGTGGTGCATCTGTTATTTCTAGATGAGCTACTCAAATTACTTGGCCAATGTGAAGAGAAGATATTCGATTTGTAATTGAATGCGCTGGAAATATAGAGAATAATCAAAGTAGTACCGCTCAACGGCAAGTCAGCCATATCTTCAAGTAGCACGACTCAGTGGCGAATCCCAAGCAACTTTTTACATTTTTTATCGATACGGCTAAACGACAGAACGAGAAACTATTTTATTTTCGAATAACGTAATTCAACGATGAATCAGAAAGATTTGATTTTCAAATACTGCGACTTTTTTTTCAAAACACCGAACAGCGATCCATCGAACATCGATTCATCGCTCGTCATCTACCTCTGCCGAACAGTGCTTGAGTGTCGTTGCGGTTAGAATTATAACCGATACTTTGCAAGAATTTATATTCTAATATCAAGCTATGGCACCTGTTGACAGTTCTCCAAGAGAAAATATGGGCGGATTCGAGTTGACATGCTCGTTAAAAGCAGTGGATACGATTCCGGTCCATATGTATAAATCCACGAACACCGGCATGACAGTTTGTATTGCGGAAATAGACGGACCCGTTGTCAGTGGTTATTTTAATCTTGGTAATTGACACGTCATTGATTGTAATTCCATATTATAAATTAAATTTTTCCTTTATACGGTTGTATCATAGCTTTTTGTCACATATGTATGTTACTGTCGAACGTGCACACATGCACAATTATACATATAATGATAGAAAATTATAAGATGTTAGAAAAGATAATAATATTGTAATGTATTTCCTAATAATTTATGTATTCATAGTAAATTCTAATTCTTATTATTTATTAATTATTAAAACTTAATTATATAAAATCTTTTTTGTTTCAGTTACTGAAGCACTTGATGACGATGGCCTTCCTCATACATTGGAACATCTTATTTTCTTGGGCAGTGAGGATTATCCCTACAAAGGTGTCTTGGATCTCTGGGCTAACAGATGCCTGGCATCTGGCACTAATGCTCATACAGAACGCGACCATACTTATTATACTATGACAACTGCTGGCAGTGAAGGATTCCTCTCCCTAATGCCGATTTATCTTGAACATATACTTTATCCCACACTTCAGGTAGTTTTTGAGATCTGAAGAACAATCGTAAAATATTGTAAAATATTTATAATTTTATAGTATTTATATAAAATTGTTTTACTGCTCCTCTGAAGAAATATATAACTGTTATATATCTTGGTAGGATGCAGCATATCTTACAGAGGTACATCATATTACCGGTAAGGGTAACGATGCAGGAGTGGTTTACTGTGAAATGCAGGGTAGAGAAAATACAGGAGAGTGTATGACATTTACGGAGTTATCGAGAGCAATTTATCCTGGAGATTGCGGATATAAATCAAATACTGGAGGTATAGGAATATAAAAAAATATCGCAAAAATATCACATTGTTGCTTCGGACATTACTTACTTTTGTCTTTACAGGTGCATTAAAGAATTTGCGAGAAAGCACTAACAATGAGAAAGTAAGACAATATCATAAGGAGTTTTATAGACCGGAGAATCTGACCGTATTAATAGCAGGGCAAGTGAAACACGCTGACGTTTTCAAGGCCCTGCAACCCATAGAGCAGAAGATAATTTCAAAGGTATTTATATATGTATTTTAAAGTTTATCAGTTTTGAAAGTTGACGAATACATGTCGCGAAGTGTTCATATAATCTTGGCATTTATTATTAAGTTATAAAATTGTAGGGAAACAGGGGACTGTTCGAGAGACCTTGGCAGACTCCAGTCGCGCCGCTCACGAAGAGTGTGGATCTGGATGTCTGTTATCCGTGTGATGACGAGGATAACGGGATGGTGTATGTCGCTTGGCGAGGACCGTCCTGGGTCGATGAAATGTACGATTGTCTCGGTTGTTTCTTACTTGCCAAATATCTCACTGAGACGTCCGTTAGTCCGTTACAAAAGGAATTCGTCGAAAGGGACAATCCATACGCCAGCAATGTGGGTTATACTCAGTACAATTTTTCAACTTCAACCCTGTGCCTCATGTTTGAGAACGTGCCGAAAGATAAGATTCCCCTGATCAAGGAGCCCCTGATGAAAGTACTCAGCGATATATGTAGCGACGGCAACGGTATAGATATGAAGAGAATGAAAACCGTAGTTCACAGGTGCATCCTTGAAACTTTAAGTGTCTTGGAGAACGAACCGCACGACACGATCGCGTACATGCTCTTCGGGCATGTGTTGTACGGAAGCACGAAGGAAGATGTAAGTTGCATGGCATCGTCATCCGCCAGCTAGATATCGTACAATCGTTTTGTCTCTGTTAACAGCTCGATCAGAGGTTAAATACCGTGCGTGACTTCAAAAAAATGGAAAACGAGCCCGAATCGTACTGGATAAATCTCCTGAAGAAGTATTTCGTTGACGCGCCAATGGTTATTACAAAAGGCATACCTAGTGTAGAGAAACAACGCGCCTTGACACAAGAGGAGGAACAGCGAACGGCCAAGCAAGTAGAGAAATTGGGCACGGACGGCTTGGAACGCAAGGAACAAGAGCTTCAGAAAGCTATCGAGGAGAACGAGGTACGGGTCGAATCGTATCGCAACAAGCACCGAAAGTATTCGCGTGTCCGATACGTCTTATAAGAGTATAAGAGAAGTATCACTGAGGTCTACGCACAACAAGTAATTCCGAACACTAGTTGATCCTTGGTGTTACCATTGATTTTGTTTCTCTCCAAAGAGACCAGTGCCTGACGAATTATTGGAAAGCGTATCCATACCCGGTACGGACACTATTAACTTTCATCACATTAAGAGTTACACCACGGAAACTCCGGAGCAACATTCTAGGCTAGACGCCACTAAGCTGCCATTCTTCACCTACTTGGATCACGTGAACACGAACTTCGTTTACGTGAGTGTTACAATATTCTGTCACACTGCCATCTCTCTCATGTCTCTGACGTGATATTAATAATTGCGCGTATTTGAATCTAGCTGTTTGTCCTCATGGACACTTCCTCTATTACCAGGGAATATAGAAAGTATATTCCGCTATTGCTGGAAGTCATTATGGAATCTCCGGTGAAGCGGGACGGCCAAATAATTCCTTACGAGGAAATAGTAGCTGAATTAGAAGCGGATACTATAGGAACTTTCACTCAGATGGGTTTTATCAGCGCCTCGCGATTTTCGTGTGGCTCCTATGGCCACACCGCTAACTTGATGCTCCAAGTAAGTATAAGTCACTGCATTCGCTTCTTCTGTGACAGAGTAAATCGCAATTGTCGAGGAGAAGAGTCTCAATTTTCACGTATCTTTGCTTCTTTATTCACTTAGCTCGAATTGGAGAAGTATGAGAAAGGTGTGCAGTGGGTCAAGGAGCTTCTGTACGATACCGAAATAACGGTTGACAGATTGAAAATCATAGCGACGAAAATGGTGAACGACGTAGCTCAACTGAAGAGAAATGGATCCAAAATCGTAGGTCATTTAATGAAAGGATTACTGTACAATAAAGGTGAGACCTTGTCGCAAGCGATACTTTTAAATATAAAATAACGTGGAGACGAAAGACTTCACATTGTACATTTCTGGAATATCTGCAGATAGCAATACCTTCACATCCAGCATGTTGCGGCAGCAGAAGTTCCTCACTGACATCTTAGAACGCCTGAACGACGAGACAGGAAGAAGAGAGGTTATCGCAGAAATTGAATCGATCAGAAAAATCTTAACGTCCCCGAAAAATATGGTCCTGTATATGGCCGTTAACGTGGAGAAGTTAACGGTACAAGTTCCCAACGTTTACGCCTCGTGGAATATGTTCTTCTCCGACGTGGGAACTTCAGCGAAAACCAAGTAAATACTGCCTGCTCGTTTGACAAATAAATAATGCGCTGCTAACGTAGACCAAATCTTAAAACTATCTTCAGATTCAAAAACTTAAACTCAGGTTAATCGACGTTGGTAAAAACAGACCTGATTGGAATAGGTTGCACCAACGAGATGATAGTTCCATTTAATTTAGTGTTAAGCCTTTCGATCGTGTAACTTTCCCCTAAGATGGAAATGTGAAAAGTGAAATATCTTCAAATTAGAAAATTAGCATTTTACGAATCCACACTAGAGGAGAAGATTCCTGATCAAGAACCCAGAAGGTCTTCTCTAGTGTGATCTCGTGAAAAGTGTAAATTTTCTAATTTGAAAACACATCACTTTTCACGTTTCTATCCTAGGAAGAAAAGCTGTTATCCGTTGTGTACAGTCCAATATATCAATACGAATTAATGATGCAACTTGGCTCTGAAATGAAAACGTTCACATCGGAAGTATGTGACATGCTTTCAACGGTGTAAATGATAAATTTCAGGCTCAACGTCACTCCCGATTGGTCACTGATGAATCCCGCGGACGACATCGCCATTAATGGTTGCGTCACGGGGCTAGGATGCATCGAGTCTTCATTTTTGTGTCAGACTTGTCCGTGCATAACCGACTATCAGAGTCCCGATCTGCCGGCCTTGATTGTCTGTTTGCAGTATTTAATTCAAGTGGAGGTAAATACGGGTTGGTCATCGAGCAAACTTTACGGTTCGGCCATAATTGTCATCTCGAGAATACGTGATTCCAGGGTCCTATGTGGAGACTGATCAGAGGACAGGGTCTTTCGTACGGATATGGCATTTACCCGAAACCGAACGAAGGATTATTGTACTTGACTTTCTATAGAGCTACGAATGCGATAGCCGCGTATAAAGAAACGAAATCAATAGTGGTACGTAGTTTTATTAACGAAGCGAAAGAGGTGCGATACACGAGTGTTTTGTCAACATATAGTCAGTGGACAAAAGATTGCAACTTAATCCGATAAAGAAATTAGTAATTATCAATAAATTAATTTCAGTCCAATGAGAAAACTTATCTCTTACAAATGTATAAAAGTTTTAGGTCCTTATTCTCAACTCAACTTTTATTGGTAAAAATATCCCTAAAAATGGCTTAAAAACCACCTGATTGAAAAGCTATATTTGAAGATACTTTCATCAATAAAAGTGAGTCGAAAATACGGGCCTTAGTCTTTATGTATTATGAGAATACAGCGGAAACTTGCGAGAAAAAGATTCGACTTTTTGCACACACTTAATACCAAGCACAACTTCTCCCATTGAATACGTTTTGACGTTCATCGAGATAAAAGCGTCGCAATCTTTACTTCATTGGCAAAAAGAGAGGCACATGTATCTCTGAAGGAAGCAGAAGCTACGGGATACTTTGTATCGTGAGCTTTTTGCTGCAGGAAACGCATCTTCCCGGCGACAAGTGGGACAAGCTACTTTATGAGTCGGCGAAGTCGTCGATGATCTTCGAGACAATTGAGCAAGAGAAGACAATAGGTGACACGGTGACATACTCGTTACTGTCCTATTTCAAAAATGTACCGCACGATTATCATCGGCAAATGGTACGACGCATTTCCGCCGTCACTACGGAGGACATGACCCGTGTAGCGACCTTATACCTCAAACCGCTGTTCGATCCGAAGAAATGCAAGACCACCGTTGTGTGTCATCCCTCCAAAGTTGCGGAAATAGGAGAGGCCTTCAAAGCGTAAGTTTACTTCTCACCGTTTCTCAACAACAAATGTATATATACTTCTTGTTCTATTGCAGAATGAGTCAAGATCTGAAACTGTACAACTGTCTTGAAGAGACATACCTGAGCGAGTGGTAAAAAAGGAAAAGAGCTTATTTGTCAATTACAAACTCGGAGAGCATTTATATTTGGCAACAATCTTTGTAAAGCTTATGCTAATTGAATTTTTCTAGAGTTTCCACATAGGCCGACGTACATTATAAAGAGTTAGTACACCGCCTAGTAATATATAAACATTACATAATACATTAAAACGTGTGTTCGCTTTTGCACGCAGGCAACGAGACATTCTAATAATAAGCATTTATAAAAATATTAGGTCTTACTAATTGTTGTAACAGACTTATTCGCTCTGAATACGGAGCGCCGAATATACACGTTTGAATGTTGTACTTGTTTGTGCTACTTGTAGTATTTGTAAGCGATGCTGTCGCGAGAATAAAAGGCCGATTCTTCAGGAGGCGTCTTCCCGTTTTCGCGATTAGACGATTAAACGTATCACGTGAAGACTGCTGCTACGGTCTCTATCTCTAACGCCGAGACGCCTCGCTGTTTGATCGGCATGTAAACGCCGCCGTAGATTTGGAACTCGAACATAGTGATGTTCGTCGTGTCGAGAGGCTCGCCATCCGGCATCTCGTGTCCACGATAATAGGGTTTGAAGTCTTTCAGAGGTAACGTCACCGTGGAGAACTCGTCGTTCGACATCAGCACCTGAGGCGGAAACGCACAACGTTACAATTCATTGATGCAAAAATGTCGAGCTTCCAGAATGGAAATTTCGCGATAGCATAAATTAATAAGAACGTTGAATCGCAGGTAAATATCGGGTTGATACAAAAGTTTGTTCCGTTTTTCAATTCTTCGCTCAGAGTGTCTAAAATTTCTTCATTGTATTTATTTAAAAATAAGTAAATACATATGTACATTTTGATTGAGGATTACGGATAACGCCCATCAGTGCCGTATTTTGAGTAGCATATCAAGGGGATCACTTCGGGGGGG